CAACATGTTGATTGTGGAGACTCTCCTGATCATGTGATACTCACACAACAGCTTTTATGGGGCAGTTGCTTCTGGTCAGGCTGTAGGATTCAATGCGTGCCAAGGGAAGCTTCCCCAACTTAGTCAGCTTCTGACAGCAATCTGAGATGTCAGTGCCTTCAGTTCCTTGAGAGGAGTCAACATGCATCAGCATGAGTTTCAGGACCACAGTGCATTACAGCATCACAGAAGGAGATTCCAGTTCTTTAACAGATGATCATTAGGCTTAAAGGGGAATTCAATCAATTTTTAAAAAAAGATTTTGTATAATGAATTTATTAAGACACCAAATAAACCATTCAGAGTGGTTTGGTGTGAAATGCTCTGTTCTACAGAAATTTCTGAGAATTGTTCACAGTGGTGGTGATAGGAACCAGATGTCCACCTTTAAAGGCTCCCTCACAGAAAGTTATTACAAGAAATGGTTGCAAATACGCTGCCTGATGACTACGACATTGTTTTATGATACTTCTGAGATGGAGTTTGACATTTTATAAAGTACATGTGTGACAGGTACATGCAGGACATTGTGAGGCAAAATATGTCGTTCAGATTTACCACAGTTTTACCATCATCAATATAAAAGCTGGGAAGACGTTTAGATTCACCGGTGATTTTGGATAGTAAATAAAATGTCTATATTTGTGTTGTAGTGTTGCAAGTCCTGGTTCCTATCACCACCACTGTAAAGAAACCGGAGTCTCTACAATGATCCAAATCACTCTGTATGACTTTATGCAGAATTTGTGAAAAATCAGTAGAATTCCTCTTTCAAGTATGTTTCAGAAATGCATGTTCTCTGTTTGAATGGTTATCAATTAATTATTAAGGTTAAAGCCAGTAACCAACAGGGCTACACAGTATATACTGTTTTTTGTTATCCCAAAAATTAGTTTAGACATTCAATATGCAAATAAGCCTCAAACTTATTTCTGTGGATGTTTTAAAGGTTCTCATGTAATCCAGCTGTAGAAAATTAAATTTGTTTGGCTCAAAACAATGCAGGCCAATTATCACCATCAACTTACTGGTTGTCAGTGTGTTTTTTTATTATAAGGCATACAGACAAAATTATATAATGACAGTATTAGCAATTTCTCCATATTGTGCAGTCATTGTAGCCAGAACTGAACAGAGTTTCTGATACTCACTGCAGTAGACCTGCTGGAGAGAGCAGAGCAGCAGCACCATCAGAAGAGCAGACAGAGTCCTCATTCTAGCAGAAGAGATTTCACCCAGAGAGACGGAGCTGAGGAGAGGAGAGAGGAGTTCAGTGCTGGATGAGTGACCAGCACCTCCTCATTTATACAGAGTGGGAGCGAAATCTCCGCAGGACTGAAATCCACTACTAATCAAACATTAATCACGTTTCTCAGTAGTTCTGCCGCCGTAACATCCTTCCTCTTCCCTGTAACACCAACATTATTTCTGTGTGGAAGAACAACCTCAGCGTTTTTCAGACTTTGCAGAGAATCTGCCCAAGAAACAGAACTGCATATCATACCACATTTCACTAAAAGTACAGTTGTATGCGGTTCAAATGATTTGGTTTTCTTCTTTGGTTTTCTAAATGAAAATATGTCAACACATAATCTACAGAGAAAATACTCTTAAATATACTTAAATATGGCATTTTTCTGCATATTTTAGTGCACAGTTTCTATTTATTTACTTAAAATAAAATGTGCCATAACTTTTACACAGATCACAATTAATGTTTTATTTTTTCCCCAAAATGTTAAATTTAGCAAATAAACTATAAAAATATTATATATATGTATGTATGTATGTATAGGCTGCGATGCGATTATAACACAATTATCGATGCATCTTTTTTTTTTTATACAGGATTTCTTTTTTCTTACTGTCTGAGGACTTGTTACTTTTAAAGCAAAGTATTTGCAATGATCTATAATTAATTTACTTCCAATATCTTTTATTAATAAATCAAATGGAAGTGATGAGGCAAGAGAACTGGAAGACTCTCATTCAGTGCTCTTGTTTGGAGCACATGAGACGCTGCTGCCACTCATCTGCGATAAAATGCGCAGTTATGGTGACATAAGATCCAGTGGTGATGGACGTCCATGCAGCAGATGTTACAGCCGTCCTGCCAGTTTTCTTCAGTGATTTTATAACTTCGGTTTTGGTCTCGTTGTAGAGACGGGGGGATCGCTGTGTCAGTAAAATATCTTCGAGACAGGACGTGCAACATAGCGAGAAAGCCCTGGTTCTCAGTCAGAATTTAAGGTGGAACGGGCAAATTCGAACAATAAGTTGGTGAATGAGAAGCGACTTCAGCCTCATAAATCAGTCGAAAGTTGAGAGACATTTTACAAGAAACTGTTCTACTTCTGAGGAAAAGTTTCCTGCTGGAGACGGGAGGAAAGCGGCTAATTATCACACACTGAGACATACTGGACATTAAATGTTGCGGCTCCCAAGGTGGTTTGATTTTTGTTGAAAGGACAAAATGGCTCTTCTTATCATTTGTGTTGTGACTCCTGACCTAACCTAGCTGTTAATGCAGAGGCTGCCGGTCGGATTTCTCGCTCAACCAGTAGTGTTTTTGTTATGTGCCGCCGCAGACTATCTGGGTGCTACACTTACGCACTTCCAAGTTCTGCCCTTTGCGTTCTGTCAACATTATGTAATAAATTAAAATTTTGAAAATCGATTTTTGGCATTTGTGAATCGATTCAGAATCGTTCATGTCCGCATCGTGATGCATCTAAGAATCGATTTTTCCCCCACCCCTAATAAACATATACATATATATGTATATATACTACAAAGTAAATTGTGCATTAAAATGTGCAGAACTGATTTCTCTAAAGAGCATGTGTTCATTTATTTTCACTTCAAAAATCAATAAAACTTGGAATGGGACCGGGGTGCACAAAGTTTTGCTAACAACTGTACATAATCATGAATGCCTTCTGAAGACTATCTTTATGGAAAGATAAATCAACAATCAGGATAATCAGATAAATATACTGACATCCATATAGACAGAAAGGCTGACAGTCATGGTGACAGAGGCTGTGTTTGAAATAACCCAAACCACAATGCTGCGCACGGCTTGAGCCCAAATCTAGTAATCAGTATAAATTTAAAGTTGGTCTCAGCCAAACAATCCGCTCAGCACCAGCTTTTCAGGCTCGCATGCAGAGTCACACTGTTTATTCAGTCAAACCAGCTTATATTACCAACTACGAATGTAATGAAAATGAAACTCACAAACAGGCGAAAACAGGTGTCCCTGGTGTAAAAGTAGTAATGTTGTGTGAGCGAGGAGACCAGAGACTCTGGCTGTGTTCAGAATGACATACTACTATACTACATACTGCATACTGCACTAGTATATACTGTACACTGCACGCTACTCTTCATAATAATATTCCCTTATCTTAGCTCCTGTTTCCTCAGCTCTCCAGTCTCTGCTTCGCAGCCACTGCTAGCTGCCTTTCAGCTCTTTTCAGGTGGATATATTTGGAGGGTGTTGTTTTGTGTCCATCTCCAAAGCCACAAATGAGTGTGTGTTAAACCTGTTTGATTTCCAGACACGACTATTTTCCTCTTTTGAGACTTCAAAGACTAAGAGTTCTAATAAAAATAATATTTAGAAAGCCTCATATTTCAAAAGTGATCATGTCTAGAGACATTAGAGAAAAATGATAACGATATAAGTAAAAAGGGAAAGTTTGCTAATTAACTTTAAGTTGGCTTGACAAAAATAATAATGCTTCAAAAGTTGAAGTAGATTTAAATGACAGAAGATGAACATTTTTGTTGCAGGAATCAATAACAAACAATGGAACTGATGGTCATTACTGGCTCCTTTTGCTGCCTGTACCAATTACATTATATGTGTTAATTGATGGAGAACATTAGATGTATTTCATTATATGCATTCTACTTGAAATGGATTTGACTCTTTCTGAAAATGAATTTAGTTGTAATAAACATATTTGACTGTAATTTACTTGTAATAAATTTATCTTGTCATATTCAGGATAGCTCATGAGCCTAAATCACCTACCAGCCGAGGGGAACCCCTGGGACTCTCTAGAGTCCTACTGATTTCTGGGAACTATAAAATATATGTTTGTAATATTTTTAGTTCAGTACAGAGATGCTGAATACAGGAGAAAATCAAGCTGCTTCAGATCTGAAAACATCCACAGGTGTTTCTGTCCATCCTTCCACTGTGAGAAGACGACTCAGCGCTATGGGTCTGAAAGGATGTGTAGCTGTTCAAGAAGAACCTCACTGTGAAAAGGAGACGGACACATCAAACAAAGAAGCGGAACGATGGACTGACCACCCCAGAGTCCAGACCTCAACACCACTGAATGTGTTTGATTACTTCAGAAAATGATCAACCAGCATCTAAGACTGAACTTTGGAGGTGTGTCTGCAGATTCTTTGAGGAACTGAAAGTGAGTCTCCTGAAAAGAATGGAAGCTGGAATAAAGGTACAGAGTGACTCACTGAACACTGAACACTCACACAGCTGAGAGTAGAGTTGAGGCTTATCTGTGAATATCTGTTTAAATGGCCAGTGTGTGGAAGTGTAATGAAAAGGTTTCTGTTAAGTTGAACAGTGAATGAGTGTAAATGATGATCATGTAGAAAACAGACCTGATCTGAAATCATTCTGAGGTGTTTAAAACCCAGGTATGTGATAAAACATCATATGTAAGAGTGCAGTCAGTGGAAAATCACTGACGTTTCAGACACCAAAAAGCTTAAACAGCAAACTGATACACTTTCATCATCAGAAGAGGCTTTAATTTATACTAATCCATAATCCATTTGGCTTTACTGTGAACCTCTTCAAAGCCATTTAAAATGTACATTTTATTTTAAACTATGTTATAAAAATGTCATAACTATGTTATGTTAATCTATTATATTACTATTAAGTCACTAAAACATCAACTGTTCCAAGTCCGACACTGGAGTAAAATCACCTTTATTGAAGAAATAGAAATACAAATGATACATTTTTGTAAATATATTAGACAGATCATCTCGTTCCACAGTGTTATGTAGATAAGTAAAATGCATGCATAAAATTTTACTGTTTTACTGTACAAACACTGCATAAATGTACTGTATATAAAATTCAACAGTCTTCACATGATCAGCTTCAGGGTTTGGAGGATGTTTAGAGTTTTGATGCTGTAGATGCTTTTTTCTGGTCCAGTGCTTTCATGTGACTTTTGACCCAATCCAGGGAATGATCCACACAGAAGCTCTTTCCAGTATCCATCTCAAAGCTGTGACAAAGGAAAAAGTGACAAAACTCCATTAATACAGCAGATCAACACTAAACAAAGCTGGTAAACATGGACAGTGTGTATATGTGGCCTAATTGACATAGTTAGTAATAATTCCACATGGAAAATTGATTCTAAATCATTGCACTACAATACAAAATCAGCCTTTAATGTCGTCTCTGTGATGATGATTTTGGGTTTATCAGGTTTCCTGGTTAATTACAGATCAGTTCAGTTCATTCAGTCAGTTCAACATGTTGATTGTGGAGACTCTCCTGATCATGTGATACTCACACAACAGCTCTCTATGGGGCAGTCGCTGTTGGTCCACCTGTGGGATTCAATGCGCGCCAAGGGAATCTTCCGCAACTTAGTCAGCTTAGTACAGCAATCTTCAATGTCAATGCCTTCAATTCCTTGAGAGGAGTCAACATGTATCAACATGAGTTTCAGGCCTACAGTGCATTACAGCATCACAGAAGGAGATTCCAGCACTTTTAACAGATGACCGTTAGGCTTAAAGGGGAATTCCATCAATTTTTAAAAAAGATTCTGTATAATGAATTTATTAAGAGACCAAATAAACCATTCAGAGTGGTTTGGTGTGAAATGCTCTGTTCTACAGAAACTTTTGAGAATTGTTCACAGTGGTGGTGATAGGAACCAGATGTCCACCTTTAAAGGCTCCCTCACAGAAAGTTATTACAAGAAATGGTTGCAAATACGCTGCCTGATGACTACGACATTGTTTTATGATACTTCTGAGATGGAGTTTGACATTTTATAAAGTACATGTGTGACAGGTACATGCAGGACATTGTGAGGCAAAATATGTCATTGAGATTCATCACTGTTTTACCATTATCAATATAAAAGCTGAGAAGACGTTTAGATTCCCTGGTGATTTTGGACGGTAAATAAAATGGCTATATTTGTGTTGTAGTGTTGCAAGTCCTGGTTCCTATCACCACCACTGTAAAGAAACCGGAGTCTCTACAATGATCCAAATCACTCTGTATGACTTTATGCAGAATTTGTGAAAAATCAGTGGAATTCCTCTTTCAAGTATGTTTCAGAAATGCATGTTCTCTGTTTGAATGGTTATCAATTAATTATTAAGGTTAAAGCCAGTAACCAACAGGGCTACACAGTATATACTGTTTTTTGTTATCCCAAAAATTTGTTTAGACATTCAATATGCAAATAAGCCTCCAACTTCTTTCTGTGGATGTTTTAAAGGTTCTCATGTAATCCAGCTGTAGAAAATTAAATTTGTTTGGCTCAAAACAATGCAGGCCAATTATCACCATCAACTTACTGGTTGTCAGTGTGTTTTTTTATTATAAGGCATACAGACAAAATTATATAATAGCAGTACTAGCAATTTCTCCATATTGTGCAGTCATTGTAGCCAGAACTGAACAGAGTTTCTGATACTCACTACAGTAGACCTGCTGGAGAGAGCAGAGCAGCAGCACCATCAGCAGAGCAGACAGAGTCCTCATTCTAGCAGAAGAGATTTCACCCAGAGAGACGGAGCTGAGGAGAGGAGAGAGGAGTTCAGTGCTGGATGAGTGACCAGCACCTCCTCATTTATACAGAGTGGGAGCGAAATCTCCGCATGGCTGAAATCCCCTACTAATCAAACATTAATCACGTTTCTCAGTAGTTCTGCCGCCGTAACAGCCTTCCTCTTCTCTGTAACACCAACATTATTTCTGTGTGGAAGAACAACCTCAGCGTTTTTCAGACTTTGCAGAGAATCTGCCCAAGAAACAGAACCGCATATCATGCCACATTAGTAGTTATTAACCCCGGTAAATGTCAAAATGATTTATGTGTTATGCGTGACGTCACATGTGAAATATGTAAAGTATTTTCCCAGGGGGTTGATGTGTATAAAAATGTAAACATCAGTGGTATGACATCACATGTGAAATATGTAAAAAAATTTCCCAGGGGTTGGTGTGTGTAAAATGTAAACATCAGTTATATGACATCACATGTCAAAATTGCAACTAATTTTCCCAGGAGGTGATGTGTGTAAAAACTGTGAACAACTATTGTAGGTTGTAAAGAATTTTTTTTTTTCCGGTGATAAAATGTTCAATTTTCCCCAGGGTGCGTGTTGGGAGGGGTGGCAAGCGTGAGCAAATTTTCCCCTCTTGAGAAGTGTTAATGAAAAACATCATGTGAATTTTGTGTAAAAGTTTAAAGGGGTGTGAAAAATTAAGAGTAAGGATGAAAAAAAAAAAAGATGCGAGGACTTACCGTCGGTGGGGTGTGGTGGGGTGGGGTGGGATGGGGTGGTTGGGTCGGGGTATGGTGTGTGTGTGTGTGTGTGTGTGTGTGTGTGTGAATGCTTTTTGATAACTACCCGAGGTTTGCCCGGTATGATGCGTGGGAATAATTTTCAAAAGATTCCCAGGATGTGTTTTGGAAAAAAAGATGTGTTTTGGAAAAAAAGATTCCCAGGATGTAATGGTATGACGTAGTTGTTGTTGTTGTGTTTTTGAGTGACAGCAGCAAGTGGGGGGCCCCCGTTCTGCTAAGCGTGACTAATAATTGAACAGGTGTCGTGGTGTTTTTCTCCTCACAATACTATAAAAACTGGCCGAGAGCCATAATAGTTGTAAAAGTTACTCATTATGGACCAGTTTGCGAGCAATTACAATACCCCTGCTGGGGGTGAAGCTGAGGTGATAAACTTATCGACCGACTCCGAGTACGAGTCTGACACCGAATCTGCGAGAAGTACGATGGTTCTCACAGATTCTGACGAATCATCCACAGCGGAGGATGGTGTTGTTCGCAACACCCCAGAAAAGGACGCGCCAAACTCAGCTGTCGTTCAGGAAAGACCCAGCGTGATCGTGTGGCGATCTTTCAGCGGCACAGGTTCAGACGAATCACTCAGAGCGGGGGCGGTGGATGAAGTTATTTGTATCACCCCTGAAAAAGATGCGACAAACTCGGCGGCGGTTCAAGAAAGACCCAGCGTGATCGTTTGCAACGTCACCAACTGTGTCAACTGTATCACCGCCACGGTCCGCTTGCCGCCGCGACCGGACCAGGAGGAGGAGGAGGAGGAGGAGGAGGAGGAGGAGGAAGAGATTCCGGGGGTTTGTCAGCCACGACCCGGCGACCGTGTTTGCAACACGCCGAAAGTCGGTGCCAACACAGGTGACGGACCGTCGATCGCAGATTACAGCCCGGTCTCCGATTACGAGGAGCGAGTTGATGAGTCGAGAGTTTCTGCTAATTTGACATCAACGATGAGATCTGTTTTATTTAACGACAACGCTGTATCTTTTTTTGATGACAGGATACAGAACGACGAATTTGACCATGTTGCGACAAACGGAGGTGTAAACTTTCTAAACGTCGAAGATCCGGTCGATTTGTTTGAACTTGAAACTTTAGTGGACAGAACTTTTCGCTGCGACTTCATTCAATAGAATGAGTGTCGCTCAGCAAAACGATACAGGAATATTGACCGAAGCTGAGGATGGATTACCGTCGCAGAACGAATGGGATTTATCGGATTTTACCTCACACGCTGACGATGGAGCGAATCAGGATGTTTTTATGCAGCATATCAACGCATCGACTTTGGGGGAGTTACCACCGCAGAGCGAAGGACACGCGTCACACGTTAACGATGGAGCAAATGGGAGCGCTTCGACGGGGTGTGAACGGAGGTGTCAGGCGGCAGACCCTGAAATTCACGCAGAAGACCTTTCGATCAGCAGGCCCTCCACAAGCGGGGAGGGGGATGGGGTGAGGGAGAGACACAGACCCATGTTTAATCACAGTGAATACAATTATCAAATAAATTTATCGGATCTAGGTACAGGTTTGAATTTAATTCAGTTCACGCAGGCTCTACACAATCGAGTAGATCGTTTGTTACAAAAAGCCAGACAGGTTTCACAAGGGGATGACATTATACAAATAAGTTTGAAAGGTGAAAGCCTGTTCTCGCCCGTGATATTTCAAACTAACGCAGAGGAGCTGAACGCTGAACATTTTCTGAATTACGTAGAATCGGTTGTTCAATCAAATAAAAAACTGTTAAGCGACAAATCACTCCCACTGAACGTTCAGATAGTGAGAAACTTTCGAGGCGGAATAGGTTATTCCAGAATGATAAACAGTATTTTGTCATCGGAAATACTTACAAAAAAAAGTAGGCATTTAGTTATATTTTTAAACGCTTACCAAAATTCCTGCTTCGCGTGTAGTTTGACGGGTGTGATGAAACCGGGTTTGACCCAAAGCGAATGTCAAAAGGAAGCTCTATTACTTTTAAATCGGTTAAATATTTCACCGGAACATTTAGTTTCATTTAACGACGTGACTTTATTCGAACAGTTTTTAAACGTCAAAATTGTGATTCTTTACAGAGTAAACAACGGTGGTTCGTTTCAGACTTTCCAAACGCATGAACAGCCGCACGAGAAGACCTATTACCTTCTTTTGCTAAACAATCATTATTATGGTATTTTGAATTTAAAAGGTTTTCTCGGTGTTAAACATGTGTGCAAAGCCTGTCACAAGCCGTATTCGCACAGTAAATACACGCACCGCTGCGATTTTATGTGTAACGTGTGTCAGAGGGTTTGTTTAAAAACCGAGAACGTTTTGAGGTGCGCGGAGTGTCTTAGATTCTGCAGGTCACAGGATTGTTTTTCACACCACAAACGAATGGGTTATTGTGAGAAAGTTAAATGGTGTGAAAACTGTAATCGCTCATACATGGTGACGACCAAACACCACAAGTGTCCCCGGACCACGTGTAACATTTGCAAGTCGCCTTTAGCCGAGAAAGAGGATCCCTCTAAACACCAATGTTTTATCAGACCCACTTTGCCGAGGCCGCAAACACAGAAATATGTATTTTTTGACATAGAGTCCCGTTTTACGGGACAAAACGAGCACGCGGCGATACATATACACACCGTCACGTACGAAGGTCGACATTGGTGCGCCACGGGTCACGACTGCATAGCAAAGTTTTTTAAACGTTTTAGAAAAAACAGATACAAAAAGTATACATTTATCGCTCACAACAGCAGCGGTTATGATTCGTATTTTATGCTAAATTACCTAACAAAGAACAAAATAGTACCGCATCTCATTACTCAAGGAAATAAAATCTTATGCATGACCGATATTTTTTTCAAACAACGTTACATAGACAGCCTGAGCTTCTTCCAAACAAAACTGGCTGATTTACCCAAAAGTTTTGGTTTTGAAAATGAGAAAAAGGGTTATTTTCCTCATTATTTTCACACAAAAGATAATTTGTGTTATGTTGGACGTTACCCGAAACCTGATATGTACGGATATTCACAAATGGCTCCTACGGAGCGGACTGAATTTATAAACTGGTACGATTCTGTAAAAAACGGTGTGTTTAATTTAAAAAAGGAACTGTACCAATATTGTAAGAATGATGTGGTTATTTTAAGAAAAGCCTGCATGATATTCAGAGAACGAGTGCTGTCCATGGCCAACGTGGACCCGTTTCAACACGTCACCATAGCCAGCGCCGCGCTAAGCCTGTACAGAACAAACTTTTTGCCGGATAGGTGTCTGGCCTTAACGGGGCCGCGTTATTTTATGAAAAAAAAACAAAAGTTTTTCAAATTGCAGTATACAGTGGTTAGAGTTTGTCAAGTTCAAGGAGAACGTTTTTATCCAACACGCGCTGAACATGGGGGAAAAGAAAGTCGGATCTATTTTTGTGGACGGGTTTTGCGAACGGACCAACACCGTGTTTGAATTTCTGGGCTGCGTGTTTCACGGGTGTCCGAAATGTTCGGACCCTAACGCCGAAAACCCTCTGACCGGTGAGTTACAAGGTGAACTTTATCAACGCACCACGGAACGGTTGGAATATCTGAAATCCTTGGGATATAACGTTAGGATCATGTGGGAACATACGTGGATTAAGCTGAAAGCGGATAACGGGGAGCTAAAGACATTTTTGAAAAGCTGTGATTTTCCGGAGAAAATGAACCCGAGAGACGCTCTGTACGGCGGACGGACCAACGCCATCCGTTTGCTGCACAAAACCGCCCCGGACGAAAAAATCCATTACTTGGACTTTACGAGTTTATATCCTTACTGCAACAAGCGTATGGCCTACCCCATTGGACACCCGACGGTGATTGTGACCGATTTTAAAGACATCAGAGAGTACTTTGGCATCGCCAGAGTCAAAATCTACCCCCCAAGAAATCTTTTCCACCCCGTGTTGCCTTTTAGATGTGATAAACTAAACAAATTAGTTTTCACCCTTTGTAGAACCTGCGCGGAGGAGGAGGCCGGGGACGCGTGTCGACATTCGGAAGAAGAGAGAGCCATAACGGGTGTTTATTGCACGGAGGAGATCAAAAGGAGTTTAAACCACGGCTACACGATCGGGAAAGTGTACGAGGTTTGGCACTTTGAGCAAAACTCCTGCGATTTGTTCGCAGGATACATCGATTTACATTTGAAAAACAAAGTGGAGGCCAGCGGTTTCCCCCCGGGCGTGAACACCGACGCTGAGAAAAATGACTATTTGTTTAAGTTTAAGCGACACGAAGGTGTCGAACTGGATGTGTCAAAAATCGGATTTAACCCCGCTCAGAGGAGTATTAGCAAACTGTTTCTGAACGCTCTCTGGGGGAAATTTGGACAGAGAACGAATCGGATGAACACGGAATTAATAACGGAGCCTCGTGACTTTTTAGAACTGATGTTTTGCAAACATAAACGCATTTCTTATTTTACTTTTATTAATGACGACGTTGCTTTGGTCCAGTGGCAGTACGAAAAGGATTATTTGCAAAAACCCGTGGTTTCTAACGTATTTGTAGCCGTTTTCACGGCGGCTTACGGACGATTAAAACTGTACGATGTGCTAGAAAAATTACAAAAGCGGGTGTTATATTTTGATACGGATTCTGTCATGTTCATGGCGAAACCGGGGGAATACACTCCTCCCACGGGGTTTTATCTCGGTGATCTGTCGAATCAGCTAACGGATGGAGATTATATCAAGGAATTTGTGTCTACAGGACCCAAAAGCTATTGTTTCGTCACAGCCGGCGGGCAAGTTTCTCTGAAGGTCAAGGGGTTTACAGTTAATCCGGAGACTTCTAAAATTCTTCATTTTGATTCCTTTAAACGGCTGGTGGAGCAGCACGTTAACACGGGGCGATCCGACACTCTGCTGACCGAGACCCTTTTAATTCAAAGAAACAAAAAACGCTTGGCTCTGCAGAACGTCAGAGCTCTGAAAAAATTTTCATTAATTTATAACAAGAGAATACTGAGACCCGTCAGAGCTCTGAAAAAATAAAGCCGACAAAAAAAATTTACCCAAATACGTGATTTTGGCCATATGCGAAATCGTTTTAAACGTTTTAAAAGGCAACGTAGCATTTGTAACACAAAAGGCAGGGCCGCGGCTATTAACGGGCCGATCAAACCCCCCTTCTGAATGAGTTTACGCTTGCGCCCAAACGGATAACTTTTGTCAGCCAGATGTCTTAAACAGCGTCGCATTTTCTTAAACTGTTTATACTGAGAGTCAGTCAGCGGGACGTTGCCTTTTAAAACGTTTAAAACGATTTCGCATATGGCCAAAATCACGTATTTGGGTAAATTTTTTTTGTCGGCTTTATTTTTTCTCTTGGCGTTTATCCAAGCGCTTAGAAAAGGGAGAGCTTTTCTTAAACGGGCTGACGTCATTTTTAAAAAAAAATCTATGTTTTAGGTACGTACACCACAGATTCTTGTCCGGGTAACAGCCCGCTCCGCAACCTAAATCTTTCTGGCGTTTCGGCTTTAAGATCCACAATTAAATAACCGAAAGGTTTACTCGTAGCGTCCTGGAACGATTCCAGGAAATATTTCGATTGTCCGGGATACATTTGTTTAGCCAAAATTGAAATGTGTAACTTGTCTCTAGGATTTTTAAAAAGTATCAGGTAGGAGGCGTTTAAACTAAGGGTGCGAGAATTCTTTCCTCTATAAAATAGATTCTGCGTCAAATATATCACGCTAAGATTATTGTGGTGAGAATATCTCGTGAAAGCCCTTTCTAATTCTACCGACTGACTCATAACGTCCATCATATCGCCCAGAACGATCAGAGGACCCCCTCCCCCTCCTCCTCCTCCTCCTTCTCCTGATCGTCCTCCTTGTAGTTCAGCGTCGTGCAGGCTGCTCGGTGCTCCTTGAACGAAAACCACGTCGGGCATAAGCTCCAGTAGTTCGTCGTAACTTTTTTGCCAGTTTTCATAAAACCACATGATTTTGCCAGGCTTCCCGTTGAGAGTTTTGGAAGAACATTCCAAAAGTCTTTGCACAAAGCACGTCTTCCCCGAACGGCTCGGTCCGGCCAAAATACATGTAAACGGCAACTTTAATCTGACGTCAAAATCCATAAGGCACCGTGGTAAAGTCGGGTCTCAGTATTCTCTTGTTATAAATTAATGAAAATTTTTTCAGAGCTCTGACGTTCTGCAGAGCCAAGCGTTTTTTGTTTCTTTGAATTAAAAGGGTCTCGGTCAGCAGAGTGTCGGATCGCCCCGTGCTAACGTGCTGCTCCACCAGCCGTTTAAAGGAATCAAAATGAAGAATTTTAGAAGTCTCCGGATTAACTGTAAACCCCTTGACCTTCAGAGAAACTTGCCCGCCGGCTGTGACGAAACAATAGCTTTTGGGTCCTGTAGACACAAATTCCTTGATATAATCTCCATCCGTTAGCTGATTCGACAGATCACCGAGATAAAACCCCGTGGGAGGAGTGTATTCCCCCGGTTTCGCCGTGAACATGACAGAATCCGTATCAAAATATAACACCCGCTTTTGTAATTTTTCTAGCACATCGTACAGTTTTAATCGTCCGTAAGCCGCCGTGAAAACGGCTACAAATACATTAGAAACCACGGGTTTTTGCAAATAATCCTTTTCGTACTGCCACTGGACCAAAGCAACGTCGTCGTTAATAAAAGTAAAATAAGAAATGCGTTTATGTTTGCAAAACATCAGTTCTAAAAAGTCACGAGGCTCCGTTATTAATTCCGTGTTCATCCGATCCGTTCTCTGTCCAAATTTCCCCCAGAGAGCGTTCAGAAACAGTTTGCTAATACTCCTCTGAGCGGGGTTAAATCCGATTTTTGACACATCCAGTTGGACACCTTCGTGTCGCTTAAACTTAAACAAATAGTCATTTTTCTCAGCGTCGGTGTTCACGCCCGGGGGGAAACCGCTGGCTTCCACTTTGTTTTTCAAATGTAAATCGATGTATCCTGCGAACAAATCGCAGGAGTTTTGCTCAAAGTGCCAAACCTCGTACACTTTCCCGATCGTGTAGCCGTGGTTTAAACTCCTTTTGATCTCCTCCGTGCAATAAACACCCGTTATGGCTCTCTCTTCTTCCGAATGTCGACACGCGTCCCCGGCCTCCTCCTCCGCGCAGGTTCTACAAAGGGTGAAAACTAATTTGTTTAGTTTATCACATCTAAAAGGCAACACGGGGTGGAAAAGA